CGTGATGTTGAACGTGCAATCCGTCAGGTTGTAAACATAGTTGTCGAACACTGCGTCCCGACCAATCTCCTCTGACGTCAATGTCGGTACAAGATGCAACATGCCATCTTTGACAAATGAATTCTTAGAGGATGCGGTATTCATCTCAAACTGGCCATTTCTGGAAGGATGATAAGAAAGAAGCGCTGAAGTGAAGAGAAGGAGACCTACCCAGCACCTGAGGCATCCACCTCCCGCATAAAGTACCCAGAAGGCCCAAATACTTCGTCTGTAGAGCGATCAAACTGCTCGTCCATGACGAGACAGAGGGGTTGTCGGTCGAGCATTACGTTCCTGTATGTCAGGTAGCACTGAAGGGCACCTACGAAACATGTCAGTTCCGGAGTCGACGGAGAGAAATTTTAACGTACTGATTGCGATACCGACAAATATCATACCATAAACGATGGCGTATGTCATTTTTGCGCGCGGGTTGGGTTTGTCTCTCCATGGCTTAGGGACCGACAGAGAGTCGACTGTTTCCTTGTCGTCTGTGTTGGTGAGAGAGATGGGGAGAAGGGTTGAGCGCATTCTGGGGACTTGTGTAGGCCCAGAGGGAAACGCGATCGATGTGCTCGACACATAACGGTGTGCATCGTCGAACGGATCGTGCAGAGACGTGGCTGCAGACGGCAGGGAAGAAGACATGGATGCTGGTTGAAACGAGGCCCGGGTCTTTAGAGTATAGAACGAATACAGGTGTTCCGTAAAGGGCAATCTAGGATACGTGCACGCAGGAATGCTTAAGTTCACATGCGACAGGTATTGATCGAGCGCGATCTTTCAGCCTGATGTACAAGTTCCAGATGCAGGAACATGTTAGCTTTCACCGAGTCTGAAGATGCGTGCCAATAGGGTGAGATGGGTGCAAAGAGGCACCAGTTCTAGATGAGAAGCGAGCAGGGTGTCGTGCGGCGGCAGTGCTGAAGATACGCCATGCGGGTGGACATTGGCTGGATGACTGACTGTTCCGTCGAATACGCAGACCTCGAAAGCCGGATCGACACACGCTGTCGTGATTAATTATAAGAGCCGTAACTTTTCGCGTCATCCGCCAGATATCTGTCCCCAAAGATGCGGACATTACGAGCGATAACCACTTCGGGAAATCTTTTGAGCCGACGTGGTGATACGAAAAAGGAAAGAGGCGGAGCACACCGATCGCACCTTCCTCTTTAGGACAAACTCACCACAAAAAGTCGTCACCGCCACTGGTCATTCATGACATGCATCCGGACAAACGTCGCCGTACCTCGAGGTACAGGGCAAGAAAGTGGGAGACGGGGAGATTGGCGGCGCCTGGATTGAATGCCCGGTCCCTGGATGCAGGACGAGAAGCACGTCAATCTGCCAATAATAAATCAGCACTATAACAGGTCATAGCCTTGCTTCTGCAACGACGTTCGCGCCATGTCTTCTGCCGCCAGCATCACTAGCGCCGGAGTGACCATTCTCAACAGCGACTACGACGCCTTTGACGCTCTTTTGCATAATATTTGTAGGACCTTTCCTTTGTTCATCCGACGTCGTTCTCATCGTTGATTAGACGAAAAAACTCTTCCTAATAATTGGTTTATTCACCCTACTTCTTCGCAGACTACTGGTGTCTGTCTACGTGTTAATGCTTCTAATTCTTCGCCCGACTCCGTTGGCGTCTCGTCAAGCACATTTCGTGTCTTTCCTTATGAAAACCCTCACTTGGTCAGCTTCGAGGAAAACGTTCGCAAGCTTAATCCAGCGGTTGCTGTCAAGCTGAAGAGCCCCAGCATCCACGTTGTTATCTCTTCTGTGTAAGACACTCTTTTACCTATTTTCATCTTCCTGATATCTAACAGTCAACCTGGCGACACATCCATTCAAATCGACAAGTCAACCCGCATCCAAATTCTGGACCACATCAACATTCTCCCGCGCGCTGAAAAGGACCAATGCGGCGCTTTCATCGTAAGTGTTACTCTTGAACTGTATCATCCGCTAACTTGAGTTTACCAACAGCGCTCAGACGACTGCCTTATCCTCTGGGCGTACTCCGTCGATCTCATCATTCCCCTTTGTCAAGAATTCGAGGAAAAGCTCATCAAGTACATCTGGCGAACACGCGCAGCTCCCAACCGCAACGTGAACACCCCTCCCCCGCTCCAACTCGACTATACTCCAAGACTTCGGTCGCTGGCTTCTACGACGTCGAATGTCCCATCGGCACTTTCAGAGAAGGAAGAAACGGATGTACAGGTGGTACCCTCGAAACCCAAAACGACGAGATGGTGGAATTGGAAAGTCGACTCCCCAACGCCGCCGAGTAATACGGAGAAGGGCGGATCGACGCGTCGTCCGCGGAAGCAAATCCTTCTAGGGCCTTTTTATGCTGGATGTGGTGCTGCACTCGCAGTTTGTAAGTCTCTGTAAAACTATGCTTGGGAATCTAACTCAAGTCATCGTGTAGACTTTGCTGGAGCCGGGATTTCGATCCTTTTGGAAGAGTATCTTCTCGATGCTGACGCCACCCGCTTTGCAATGTGCATAACACTTCCTATTATCGTCTGTGTTTCCATCGTATGTAAAACATTATCTCTTCTATCTTGGCGCTCACCCTCGTTCAGTTCTTCTGTCTCCAACTCATTGGCAACATCTCCCTTGTCATCGGTCCCGTATCTCAATACCACGAAAACTCCGCCTATTATTCTGCCATCAAACCAGACCCGAATCCAGAGGTCGACAATAACCTCCCACACATTACTATTCAATGTCCCGTGTATAAGGAAAGCTTAGAGTTGACCATGTACGTTACTTCTTTCCCGAACTCCCACTCCACTCTTATGATTGGTACCAGCGCTCCCTCCGTCTTCTCGATCAAACGAGCCATGCAGACGTACGCTCGGCAGGGCGGCACTTCTGCCATCTTTATTTGCGACGATGGACTGCAGCTCCTACCAGAGAAGGATCGCCAAGAGCGCATTGACTTCTACGCCAATCACAATATCGGGTGGGTGGCGCGACCTGCGCACAACGGAAAAGATCCGCAAGGTTTCAAGCGAGCGGGCAAGTTCAAGAAGGCGAGCAAGTAGGCTTTTTCGTTTCTCACTTGTGTTTGAAGGGCTAACGAATGTAGCATGAATTACGGCCTAGCGTTGTCAATCAAACTCGAAAAGCACCTCGCGGCCCTTATTGATCAAGGCCAGGAAGAGGCTGAGGGCATTTCACTAGAGGACCGTGCGATGCAATTAGCCATCGATGAGATTTACGAGGAGAGCGGGCGAAGGTGGAAACCTTGGGCGAGCAACGGGAAGAGTTTGAGGGTGGGGGAGATTATACTGATCATCGACGCGGACACGATCGTTCCGGAGGACTGCTTTAGGGATGCGGCGAGGGAGATGTATGAGAGCGAGGATGTCGCGATCATACAGCACGAGTCTGGTCTGTGTCCTCTTGTACTCTTTGTGGAGATTACTGGAACTAATCTTGTCCAACAGACGTCATGCAAGTTGCGCACCACTACTTCGAGAACGGCATCACGCATTTCACACGGCGCATCAACAAATGTATCTCGTATGGCTGCGCAAACGGGGAAGTCGCCCCCTTCGTCGGACACAATGCGTTCCTGCGGTGGTCTGCCGTCCAAGACGCGTCGTTCGTGGACCCGGCGGACAACAAGCGCAAGCAGTGGTCCGAGGCTAACGTTTCAGAGGACTTCGACCTTGCGCTACGCCTCCTCCTGCGCGGTTACACGCTCCGGTGGGCGACGTACTCGAATGGCGGCTTCAAGGAAGGTGTGAGTCTTACGGTTGTCGACGAGTTGGCGCGGTGGCAGAAGTACGCCTATGGGTGCGACGAGATCATCTTCAACCCGCTGGTTAGGTGGTGGAGACAAGGGCCGATCAGTAAACAGTTGAGGGGATTCGTGTGGTCTGCCGCTCCAGTGCATTACAAGATCGGCATGATGTCGTACATGTTTTCATACTGTGAGTGCTTTTGGTTCCTTCTCGTAAATAAGGCTGAACATCATTCAGACGGTATCGCCGCTGCGACTGTTGGATCTATTATCAACTACCTCATTCTTGGGCTAGCGCCGCGTCTAGACAAGTTTTACCTTCACAGCTTTGAGATCCTCTTGGCCTGCGTTGTCGTTTTCCCCGCTCTTGGTAATTTGGGATTCACACTTCTCGAATACCGAGTGGGTCACCGCAAGCTTTTCGGCGCTCTATACGAGAACTTGAGATGGGTGCCATTCTTGTACGTCTTCCTCAGCGTTTCTCTTGTCATACTCATTCTCCTTCAGTGTGTTCTTCTTTGGTGGTCTGAGTATTCACCTGTCTACGGCCCTCCTTGCGCATCTATTCTCGTACGACATGACATGGGGTTCTACCGGCAAGGAAGTCGAAAAGTCGACTTTTTGGATTGAAGGTACCCAGCCCTTGTCTACTTTTCTGGACATGAACTAACTCCATCTTCTTCAAGTTCCTCGTATACTCAAAGGCTTCTGGCTATCCTTCGTCATTTGCTTCTCTCTCATCATTATGGTGATCGTCTTCAACAGCGACATCGTTCCCGTGGAATGGCAGATAGGTGGATGGCAGTTTGCCTTGGTTATTCCCTTGTCACTCGTCATTGGATGTCACATTCTTTTACCGGTGAGTAAATCGTAATCTGTTTGGTTCAACGGTGCTTAACATGGTACACGTAGATCGTCTTGAACCCGTGGTTGATGAAATTCTCGTACTAAGCTTTTCGGGTTTCGACTCTTTCTAGCGTGGATTTGGACTTTGTAGGTGTAGACAGACGATATTGTGGATTGTTGGACGCAGAATGGCATTTTTCATTCTTTGTGTCGTAGACTTGTAGGACCAACTGTAGTACTTGTATACAGCAGCAGCACGCTCTCTCTACAGGGCAATAAATTTTGAAGAGACGATACGCACAACCCATTGCATAAATTCTCTCAGACACGATTTCTCGCGTGATGTGGCGCTATAGTGTAGTGGCAGCACATGGGATTCTGATAAATGGCTTCCCATAACCCAGGTTTGACCCCTGGTAGTGCCTTTGTTCGCGTAAGTTTTCATTTTGGCTGATGGTTGGAGGCTATGTTCTAGGGTGGCGCAGTGGAACTGAACCTCCTCGGGAAGGTCTAGTAACGGTTCGACCGGCCCTGGCACATGTTGCGGATATGTGATGTGTGGCGCTGCATCGTGCCCACTGCCGCCCTCATTTTGCTTTATATCCCGCTGCTGCGCTGCCCCAGACTCTGAGGGCTAGCTCGCGGGCACGCGAAACGGCCAAGTGCCGGTGTCAAAACCTACGTCAAGGGCTGGCTGGCGGGTAGGTCTCAATACCGTATCAATGCCATTATTTACCGCAGTAGGCCCTAGGTGTATCAAAACAAGGGTTTACTTCACCATTCTGGAGACTAGATCCTTTTTCGCTGAATTTGAGTGCATGCTGTATGTGGCGCAAGCAGTGTATAAGTTTTACTCGAGCTATCCCGAGCATGTGTTGCTCACCAATCCCCTAGAGATGACTCAATTCTCAGCAAATAGTACTATCCACTTAGGCTGAACTGTTCTGGATGCTTTCTGAAAGACACTGCAAACAGCTTCTTCCCCAATCAAAGTCATAGTACGCCCACGGAGTGGGTAAGTACTTAGTCATCCCATCTCAGCGGGGGATTATTCCTGCCTTGCCAATTCAATACAATGTGCTACCGGTCGACAAACTAGCAGCTAAACTGAGGCGTGTTAGTTCATTCCGCCGACGTGCATGACTAGCCTCCGAGACCCGCATCTTACTTGCTACCTCAGTACTATGTCTTGCAAGAAATCTACTGTCCGTTCAGTCATTCAACGAGTAGCGTTCGAGGTGTCTCCGTACAACAGAACATGTTTCAACGGAACAAGTAACAAGTTGACCTCCGACATATGTAGCGCACTAGAAGCGGCATCATGGCCTCTTCGGCGACGAATGCCTGCGTGGTTGTGGATCTGAATTCTTCAACCTTTGCACCCGTGCGCTCCAAGGCAAGTTCACGGATCCAAATGGCAAGCGTGGCTTTGAGTTCACCGAGTCGTTAATCAAGACAATTTCCGGGTCCCAAGAAAGGCACCAGCGTAGTGGACGTCCCTTGAATCGTAACAAGCGTGGCGCACAAGAAACACACCAACAGAATAGGTAAGACCAAAGTTAGCTTGGTCTTCCCGTTGAATGATTCGAGGCGCCAGGTGTGCGGGTGTCAGGGATTGAAACGCTGCTGTACAGTGCTGGATTTGTATTTAAACTGAAAAAGATACAGTACATGCCTCCAGCTCGATCATTAGGCGGTAGTTTGAGGAAGCGCGCGCCGCCGGACCATGCTCTAGACTGTCCTTGTTGTAGGGTAGTCAAAGTGCCAAATAGTACCATGAAGCTCAGTACAGTCTGAATCAATGAATGAGCACAATATCTCCCGCGTCGTACATACTGGCGCTTTCCGCAATCTTTTCCGAAGAAGAAGAAGAAGACGAAGAATGGCATCACATTCACAGCGAAAGCCGCTTCAGTCGATGTGGACATACAAGATAGGGGTGTGGGAATGTCCACAATGCGACCACGTGCGAGATTCCCAACTTGGCAATTTACCGCCATTGTCAACCCGCTGCGTCCACCTCTGCGCCATTGTTCCATTGTTCTGCCCCTGCGCGCCGTCTCGTGACTGCGCATATAAAAGCAGAAATTTCAAAATGTATCAAGCCATTCTCATCTTCGACTTTCTCACTCGTCAGTGGCCACTCATGCTTTCCGACGCGTCGCCTACTCCCGCCTCCGATGATCCTGTTGGGTCGCAGGCACCTACAGGGCTACCCAACCTGCCAGCTACCCCTGTGAATGCTCGCACTGCTCCCCGCCTGGCCGAGTTGCTGAGCACGCCCGCCGCCAAAGGCACCAGTCAGCAGGACGCGTATACACGCGACCACATTTCCCCCTACATCCTGGAAGATTTCAATACCTCCAGAATATATCTCTCTTTGAGATGTTCCTGCACAAGGTTATGAATCTTCCCGATGACTGGCAATCCGACGCCCATTTCATGCGATGTCTAGACGCATTGGAAGCGGATACCGAGCTCAGAGAAAGGATGGACGCGTACTTCGTTCAATGTGATGTCAAGAATCACAAGAGCAGACACTCTACGTTCCCGCATCAGCCGTGTTCAATCGGGCGACCGATGTACTTGCGAAGCTTGACGGTATCCCGCAGGATGACACCGTCTACGTCTACCGACAGGATAAGCGGCGCATCCACGGCTCGCTGGACAGAGCTGATATCTGTCCTGATCTCTGTACCACCCTTTATCGACTATGGAGAACTTCCAAGAACAACAATCATCTTGACGAGGTGGAGGAACGAGGGCCCCCAAATCCTGTTGGCTACGGCCAGTTGATTGAATGGACGGATTGTAAGGCGGTCCGGAGGCTGATTGACGGGGGTGTAGGCGCGTATGCTGTACTTGATAAAGGTGCGAACTCCCTGCGTGATATTGATAGGATGTTAATACTTTTTCTAGATCGCCAGGACCCGCGCGACAAAATGAACATGCAACACGCGCTCAGAGAGGCGATCAGAAGCGATGCTCTCACAGTGACCTCCCGGTTGTCCGATGGCGCGCGTAAAAGGCCTTCCAACTCTCAGGCCGAGTCGTCGGTGAAAAAGAAACTCAAATCACAGCCGTCGAATGCAGCGAGCTCTGCTCATGAGTACGCTCAGCCCCGTTCTACCAAGTCACCTATGGCGACGATTCCGCCGAACGCCTGGCAACGTCCTATCAGTGCGCTGACTACGCGCTCCAATTCATGAACGACGGCGGTCTCAGAAATCATAGTTTCGGTAACCTGATCTGCGATGACCGTCTGCAGCTCATGTACTACGACCATTCTTGTATAGCCGTTGCCAAGCCTCTGAACATGAGGGCTGACCGGCGCATGTTCATGCTTTATCTGGTATGCCTCCACAAGCTATCCCTCAGCGAGCGTAGCGGCCTCCCTCGTATCGGTATCCTCCAGAACCCGAAGCCGTACCTGGAGGATTACAGCGACTACGCAATAGTCAACGAGGATTGGTACAACATTTTGTCTGGCCAGGTCCTATTGCTTCAGGACCAGACTGGTCCATTCGAGGTGACGCTGGGACGCGTTATTGACCGACAGACCGGGATCATTGGACGTTGCACATTTATCGTCAATGCGACATGTGCCTCGAGGTGGCCCGGCATAGAGCTCATCGTCAAAATCACCTGGTCTCCGACTAGTCGTACGTCGGAGGCGGAGTTCATGCAGAGTGTTCAGGAGGTGGCAGCTCACAGTGGTGCAGATTGGGTTCTAGACCACGTTCCGAACATTCTCCATTCCCAAGATTTCCCTCATTTGCCTGATCAAGTTGGAGGACGCCTCTCGGCATTTCTGAACAGTCTTCACGAGGACGATTGGGCATCCAGCCCCGGCGAGTTCAAGTACGAGGACCGCGTTATGCGTGTCAGTGTCCATGAAAAGCTATACAAGCTGAGCGAGCTGGATACGGTCAGCAACCATGCGCAAGTATTTCACGACGTCGTGCAAGGTTCGTGACATTTTATATCATTCGTGGCGTGTGCTCAATCATTATTCTCAACAGTACATCGCTGGCTCTATGATTTCCCTCGTATTCTCCACCGCGACATTAGCCACAGCAACATAATGTGGCATAGGTGCCGTGGTCGAATTTGTGGAGTCTTGAACGACTTTGACTTATCATCCTTCCGCGACAACACGGCCCCTTCGTCGAAGCAGCGCACCGGCACCCACCCTTACATGGCCCGCGAGCTTCATCAAGGAGCGAAGATCTCTATACGTCATCTCTATCGGCACGACCTTGAATCGTTTTTTTACGTCCTTCTACTGCTCACCGGAGCATACAAACTCCTGGATGAGCCGGAGGTTGACGAAATCACAAAGGAGAAATGCTACTTGCTGGGAGACGAGAAGTCTCCCTACAAGAAATGGTCTTCCCTGCATGAAGGTATACTCAAGTCAGAGAAAGAAACCTTGGTTAAATCCCGACTCGATCCATACACGCACCCGTCCTTCCAAGGGTTGAGCGGTCAGATTAGGGACGTTAGAGTGTTTCTATTTTTGGGCATTCATGCACAGGAGACCAATGATGTTCATCATGCCCTAGCCGAGCGTCTACGCCAGGGAAGCGCATTCAGCCCCATGGTTCCGTCTGCTCCGACGGCTGGATACGACGACGAAACCTTGGGTGGACATTGGATATATAACAATTTTCTCAACTCCATTGGTGCTGGTTTACCCTTCGAGCGGATGTATCCTGTACCATGCGCTTTGAATTAGTGCTTACTTAGCTGAGGAAATTCTAGATAGTCCTAAAACAATCCTCTCTCCATATGCTCTTTGTATCATATTGCACCTTGATGTCATGTTTCTATGTATGGATTGTATATACTCTGTAGAAACTTTGATAAATACAGTGATGCTTTTCTCAACGCGGAAAGAGGCTTGGAGCAAGCACTGGCGAAGTTACTTGTGCATTCATCCCTCGAGGTTCTCAGCGACTATACTCGCACTCTCAAGTGTGTCATTTCGTTAAAGGGCTTCTAGCAAGTTCTGCGAATGTCATATATCGTTGAGAGCTATCCCTCCGAGCTCCAAGGTTTGTAACGCGGTTCCTTAAAGGATTGTCGCGGGCCCCCACAGGCTCAGGAAAACGTGTTAACGAAGAACTATTTGAAGAAAGCGCTCATTCGTTCGACATCCGACATCGTAGCGATCACCGGTAGACGTGTCTTGCCATACTTAGTATATGTCCATCTATGACGACCTTACTTTCACCCTCACAACTCACAAATCGTCTACTCAACATTACAATACTGTTCAATCCTCACTTGACGCAGATCGTTGACCTCCCAAATATCGCACAAGAAGCGGCATCATGATCTCATCACCAACGAACGCCTGTGTAGTCGCCGCTCTGAATTCCTTAATGTTCGCGCCCGTGCGTTCAAAGGCAAAATCCCGAAT